GTAGAGTACGAAGCCCCATGTGTTCAGCCCAGTTTATGAGAACTTAAGATTCTGAGAAGTAGCTGGTGAGAAGCTAGCTGGTAAGAATCTGTAGAAGCTGAGAAACCCAGCTTCTAGCTTCTAATTTATTTTTGGATTTCATAACTATAGATTCTTATAATCTGAGTGAAAATCTGGACTATTTGGTGGAGCTTCTAGCAGTAATAGCTTCTAAAAAAATCTTCAGCTCCTAGAAGCTCCTCCAAGCAGGCCCATAGTTACTAGATAAGCAACTGCCCATGGGTAGGCTGTGAGGCTGAACCCCGAATATGTCATCACGTAACCAACAGCACCTCCTAAAATAGTCACAAGGGACAAAATTGTAAGCTTGGAAGGACATGGCTGCTTCCTGAATCCTGAAGGCAGTATCATCAGCGATGGCAACCAAAAGCGGGGTCAACGATCTGAACACTATAAAGGTATCCACATTAGCACGCTTCAGGAGATGTGTAGGTGTTGGTGAAGATGGCAAGGTAGAACACAAGCGCCGCCGGCGCAAACTTCTTTGCGGTCTGGAAGTTGAAGGGATCATGGTAGAGTAGTCCAAGCTTTGCGAGGGTCCAGACACCAGCCACTGATGTCAAGTACTGAAGTGCAGTCAGGAGGCCAGGGTAGCTGAACTTGGTCATGGCATACTTGTTGATGATCGCCAGCAAGCTCGAGCACAGAGAGGCAGCCGAACCACGGAGCCCTAGCAGCTACAAACGCCTCTCACCAATCGGCCGAGATGCAGATCCCGCAGGTGAGATTCGGATTCCGATCGCATTCGTGAGGAAAGGGGAAATGCAGAGCAGTCACCGCTCCGACGAGGGGTCTTACCAAGAAAGCTCAAGACAGTATATATCTCGGGTGGACGGATTCCCGCGGGAGGGGGAGGGAGAGCTCCGCCGCTGGCGGCCGGCCGGCAGCTGCCGCGACCCGCGCGTGGGCGAGGTTGAGCGGATCGGGAGAAGAGGGAGGGGCATGTTTGTGGTGTAATTTGGCTTCTATTATTTAATCTTGGTAGGCCAAATTATTTAGTTTAGCTTTCATTATTTATTGAATGTTTGGAGACGTATACGCGTCGGACGTACGGCGCGAGCCGAAAAATCGGACGCCTCGCACGACCGTCCGATGCAGCACGCGCGCGCCAGCCGTCCGATTGGAGAAACAACTGTCACCCGACGCCCGCGCCGTTGCAACACCCAAACACATTAATCTGTTTCATTCAATGTGTCCCGCCGTTGACCACTAGCACGAGGGGAGATCTTCGCGGAGCGACTGGCGCTGCGCTGCCACCGGCGATTCTCTCCAGCGCCGGCGACCCTATCCCTCGCGCCCCTATCCTCCTCGCGCCGGCGAAGCCTGCAACAACGCCGACGTGCCGCCACACCACACGCAGTCACCGCCCTGCAACTTCGCCACCGACGCCATGGCTCATCTGATACACCAAGTTGAGAGGGATTTTTCGCCGAGCTCATCTAGTGCAAACAGAGGAACAACCCCAATGCATAATGCAACGAATTTGGTGAGTAAAAAATTTCTAGGGTTTTACTTGTTTCACTTTTTTTTTGAAAAAGTTTCAATAAAAAATTGAAGTATAGATCTATGAAACAATGTCTTCCCTCATGCAACATTTATATTCATGTCTTATTTTTAATTGTAACTTCTGTATAAATTTGGACTGGAATTTGACTTGAACAATAATCCTTAACTTGCTAAAACATAATTGTACAAGTTAATGAAACAAGATAAAATGTTACAGATTGATGTCCAAGCACCAAGCTCATCTGGTGGCTTCCTTGATGTGCTATTATCCAAATCCTCTGGGCATGAAACTGACTTGGTGAGTTGTCCTTGGATTTGAAATATCACAAATGTAGGGGGGATATTTTGCTTTGAAAACACAGTATGTAACTTAGTGAAACTTTTTTGTGTACTAGGTTGTGGATGTGGAAAGTGTTGACAACACAGATGTGGCTGCTGTGACTGTTGAAATTGATGAACAATTGGATGAAGATGCATCTGAAAATGATGAAAAAGAAAAGGATGTTGTTTGTTCCCCACCAATTGTTCCATACATTGGAATGGAGTTCGATATAGTGGAAGAGGCAAGAAATGTTTACAACGCTTATGCTTATAAGCTAGGATTTGGAACAAGAATTGCATCATCTAGAAACAGCCAGGCATCATCAGGGGAAAAAAAGCATCGAAGAAATGTAAAGTATCTGAAAATGGAGACAATCATGATGATGAACCGAAGTTGATAAGGAGAGAATTTGAGTGTGTTCATGCACGTAAGCCAGAAAATACCACAAAAGATAGTGCTGGTGGCAGTAGCTTCATTTCTGAAGAGAACAAGGAAAATCCGCCCCTGCTTGAAGGTAACAAAAAGAAGGCTCCCTTGCTGGTGGAAGGGAAGAGGAAACGACCAAAGGTTGCAAAGTATGATTGCAAAGCTCATATGGCTGTAGGGCTTAGGGACAACAAGTGGAGAGTCATTGCTTTCCAACCAAAACACACGCATCCGATGGTGAAGCGCCTTGGAAGAAGGAGATATTACAGATCTCATAGGCACATCTCAAATGAAGACTATGAATTTCTAAAGACTTTGCATTATCGAAACATTGCAACATCGCAGATTTTGGCGTTGTTAGGAGATTTGCACGGTGGTGTAAGGAATCTAACTTTCATTGCTAAAGATGTCTCAAATTTGAGGACAAAACTGAGACAACAAGTTTCACTCAAAGATGTTGCAATGACTATTGATTATTTCCAGTAAACTCAAGCAGATAGCCCCTCCTTCTTCTATGCTGCAAGATATGATGAAGACAACGTGTTGAAGGCGTTGTTTTGGGTGGATGGCAGAACACGGAAACTGTATCAAAGCTATAAAGACTGTGTCTTCTTTGACACAACCTTTATGACTAACCGTTACAACATGCCATTTGCACCTATTGTTGGAATTAATAACCACCTGCAAACAATATTGCTTGGATGTGCTTTGATTTGTGATGAAACAACTGAAACATTCATATGGGTCTTTGAAACATGGATGCAAGCAATGAATGGACAGAAGGTAGGTTCAGTGATGACAGTCCGAGATAAAGCAATGAGAGCAGCGATTAAAAAGGTGTTCCCCGGTACAATTCATAGATGTTGCTTATGGCACGTGACAACAAAAGCAGATCAGCAACTCCTGCCCGTGTATACTTCAAAGAAAGGCTTCCGTGAAGCTCTGTATAGATGCATATATGACTCTGAAACAATAGATCAGTTTCTATCAGATTGGCAAAAAATGGTAGATGAATATGACCTCCATGGAAACCAAACTTTGAATAACTTGTGGGAAACAAAAGAAATGTGGGCTCCGGTATACTTTAACACAAGTTTTTTCCCTTTTACTGGGACGACAGGGAGATCAGAAGGTCTAAATGGACTATTCAAATTATTTGTACACCCACAAGATTCAGTGTGGATCTTTGTCAAACAATATGAGCATATAATTGAGACAAGGCTTGACAGAGAGGACAGGGAGGGCTACAGAGTAGAGACAACAGAACCTAGAATGTATTCAAGGTAATGTGATATGCCTGTCTTGAAACAATTTGAAAAAGATGTGCTTTCTGTTTTTAATTAGAAAAATTGATGAAACAAATAATATCTGTACTGTGTAACATAAACTGTGCAAGTGTGGAACAATTGACATTAATGGGTTGAAACATTGAATTATGCAGGTCACTGATTGAGAAACAAGCATCGCAGTTTTACACTACAAGTGTGTTTGCAGACAAATTCTAGTATGAAATATATGAAGCAACAGGGCTGGATGCAGAAAAAACACAAGAAGTCCCCGACATAATATATAATGTTATGCCAAGTGACATAGAAAGAACAGGTAAAAAATATAGGGTCACAGTTGATGCAGCACACTCAACCTACTCCTGCTCGTGCCACAAATTTGAAAGAGATGGACTTCTTTGCTCACACATCTTGAGGGTGATGGCTGTCCTTAACATCCATGAGATTCCAAGTAAGTACTTGCTGAAATGGTGGTCAGAGCAAGCGACATTGCAAATACGTGATGAGTACAATGGTCCAGCACCATCAATTGGAGTCCCGGCAACAAGCAAGCTGAGATTCAACGCATTATGCAGGGCAATGACAAGCCTTGCTTCAGATGCATGTGTTAATGAGGAAAAGTACTTGATTGTTTCAGCTGGGATTCAGAACCTACACGCAATGGTTGCAACACCACACACTGTTGAGACACAACATCAGTAAGGTATTTTTCCTAGTCAACAAGACCCATCAAGTTCAGCTAAGAATCCAGCAACCAAGAAAAGGACAGGGAGGCTGGTAGAAAAAACTCATAGGATGAAGCCAATAGGGGAACAAATAACTGAAAGCAGCAAGAAGAGGAGGACAAAAAAGAAGAGCTCATGCTCATATTGCTTCAACGAGACACACAATGTTTCAACATGGCCGTATCTCAAGATAGCGAACATGCGAGACGCTCTACTAAACCAAAAATGGTGCAAGAGACGGAGTTGACACTCTGAGAAAAAAGAGTTTCAAGAGCTATAAATTTAGATGCGATGCACTATACTGTTAGAAAATATAGTGGTAATTGCCATATTACAATATAAAACTATCTTCTTGTGTTAGGTGAAACAAATTATGTTGTGAGATGCAACAGACATATTTTTTTTAATTCACATATGGGCAGAATGTTGGATGATTATGTGAAATGAGTCTTTCTTATGATTTATGTGAATGATTGTTAAGTGGAAAGAAGGGAATGCCAAAAAAAAAATTACATCTCTGCACTAATGATTACAGTGGAAAAAGAATATGTAGAGCTGGTGAAACATTCATTAAGTGTAGGGTGAGACAACTGTATAACAGTAGGTGAAACATTTGCTTCTTATGGAACAGAACATGTGGAGCTGTGAAACAATCATTAAGAACAGGCTGTAACTATTATGTAACAGTAAGTGAAACATTGCTTCTTATGGAACAGATCATCTGGAACTATGGAACAATCATTGATAACAAGCTGAAACATATAAGTACTAGAAGGTGAAACATTGTTTCACTCTAAAAAGAACATCTTGAACTATGAAAACAATCATTCATGACTGCCCCCTAGTAGATGCAACATTATATAAAGAGTAGCAGTTCAACTTGATAGCACAACTTCAGTGCACAAACAAAAAACAGAAAACACAACACACTTCAGTGCACAAATTCAGACCACACATAGCTACCCAGAGCATCCACTTTGCACTATTTTTTCTACCATTTTTACAACTTCAGTGACACGACTGCCCCCTACACTAATTTGCTTGAAGTTGATCATGGTTAACGAATTTCCGGTAGTTAGGCATGTCCCCTTCATTGAATGCTTGCAGGTTTTTCCCATCCCAATTCTCAATGTATCTCAAGCTGAAGAAACTGCAATCAAACCTAATGCATGGAAAAGCAAGTGATAAGTTAAAATGACACACTTGTGCACAAAAAAAAAAGAAAAATGAAACAACAATTTGGAAACAAAACATATAAATTGCTTTGTACTGGATACTGTGGAGGAGAGCAAGTCTGAAACTTTGATATATCTTTGATTGGAATTTTAGCATCCACTGCAACCTTGGTGAAATTTGTGACCTGAACGGCACATCGGCATTGGGACAAAAAAAAGAACTTAAAACTCAATGAAACAATTAAAAAATTATAATGGAACACATGGTGTTCCAGTGAACATCTTACCAGGTTTTGAGAGAGTATGAACCACTGAGAAATATCATCCCTCTTGATTGAATCAAAGTAATTTATTTGTTCCCGCAAATGGTTGATGCAAGTCAGCACCCAATGCTTGTCACGTACAATTGGGAAGAACAACTTGATGGGGTGGGAGGCAAAAAAAGTAGCATATATTAAATGATAACTGGAACAAGGAACAGCTATGAATGAAACAATATGTTAGCATATGGTGAAACTAACAATTGAAACAAATAAATGATCATTGAAACATAGTGTTAAAAATAGCTGAAACATTGTATTAGTATGTTGTGAAACATATCAGCAGACTAACTGAAACATGAAAAAAAATCAGAGGGATGGGAAACTGGTACCAGATCTAGTTTAGGAAGTTTATGCTCCTTGTTGATTGATTTCAGCCATTTTACACAGCTTTCAGACACAAACTTCTCAGGATTGCAAATCAATTTATCCTAAGGAAAAAAAGGGAACAATTGAATTAAAAGCAAAAAAACAAAAACAAAAATAGATGTAATAAAAAGGGGGTGGTTAAAACATGTTACCGTCAAGCCAGGGGAAAAACAAATTTTTTTATGCTTGATTTCATCTTAGAATCTTCCCTACAGTTTGCATTGAACATCTCAATCCAACATGACATAACTTCATTGTTCAACTCTCCTCTAGGTTTCATTGCTTCACGGAAATACTCAAGTGAGACATGGAATTCTCCAATCCTTAAGAATGGAGTTGTCCTGTTTTTCCCAAAAAAAAAGTTGGGAAAAAATTCAGATAAAGCTGTTCTGAAACAAATGTTTTGCATTTATTGAGACATGTCATAGTGACTGATGAAACAATAGGGGAACCTACACTGAAACATATTAATAATAAAAAGGTTGAAACATATTTTGCGCAAAAAAAAGTGTGAAAACACTTACAACTCTTTGGCATCTGCCTTCCTTGACCTATTTGGCAAAGAATCAACAACAGATCTTCTGTACACATCATCTATTTCAGAAGCGGTCTTCAACTTCTTCGCCTCTACATCACTATCACCTTTCTGTGCCCTTTTCTTCCTATTTTTCTTCTCATGGGTGCTTGGACCACTACTACCAGCACCTACTATAGAGGAAAAAACATTAGAGAGGGGTAGGGGTGTTGTTCATAGTTACTTTACCCACACCGAAAAGAGAGAGAGAGAGAGATAGAGAAAGAGAAGGAACAAAAAAGTGGTGATTTTACCTAGAGGTAGCGAGCTTGTAGCACGTGGCGGTGAAGATGTAGCTGGGGATGTTGCCCTTACTGCTGCTAGAGAGAGAACTACTGAAGTTGATGTTTTTGTTGCAATGGGTGAAGGGGGGGCTGGAGAAGGTGTCCTTGCAGTGGGTGAAGGAGTTGCAGAAGATGTCCTTGCAGAAACAGGTGACTGAGGTGATGGAGAAGGTATCCTTCCATCCATTGCCGATTGAGGAACATTTGAAACATCCAAGGAGAGCATCTCAACAGCCAAGTCCTGAGTACTAATGAAATCAGGATCAGATTCATTGAAGAGTCTGAATGACGGTGCATCACATGCATCATCTAGATTTGAGATATCAGAGTGGGAAGCAAAAATATAATCATCAATAGCTGGGCTGCTTGGCACAGAACCGCCAGAAGCTTCCTGGCTTGGTCCATCAAAATCTGTAGCCTCAGCTGCCCCCTCAATGCTTGATGGTTTTGAAACGGCCTCAGCTACCCCCTCAGTGCTTGGTGTGTTTGAAACAACCTCAGCTGCCAACCCAGTGCTTGGTGGGTTTGAAACAGCCTCGGAAATGCCCACTGCAGTGTTGCTGTCAGCTAGCACCTTGCTTATGTCAGAAATCATATCACATGTTCTTTTTGCACGCAAATCAATCATGTCCCTCTTGAAGTTGTCAAGTGCTGAAACAAACTCATCCTGCCACATGGCACTGTGCTTCTCAATACTAGATTTTAAGCTTGCTGAAAACTGAGACAAAATGAAACAAAAGAGAGGAACAAGTTAGAAACAAAAAAAAAGGCAAAAATGTAGATAAGAGAAGAGGGTCAGTGAAAAAGTGAAGAAAATTTTTACCGTAGTCCCTTGGCTGCTTGAGGCAGATAGCCTGATCCATTCATTCAATGAAGCAGAATCTTGAGCAACACTATCTTGGGCGACAGCAGCTCCAATGCCTACACCATCTTGAACAGCACCAATTGGAACATCCTCAGCCCTTGCAACCCCAGCATTCTCAGCCTCAGACCCACCAACAACAGCATGGACTTGGGCTAGATATGGGATCTCATTCCGTGGATGGAACTGAAGAAATAAAAAGATGAAACATAGTCTTAATAAGTGGTGAAACACATAATGTATATATACTAAAACATTCAAAGTTGTGAAACATACCGGGCGAGACCCATATGTGACATAGCCAAGGTTCATCCTACAACGGTCTACAACAGCAACATACTCAAAGTCCTCATCAGTGACATGACAAAATCTTGGTGTGTTGTAGTCAATGATGCGGAGATGCAGTCCAGTTGTTGGCATTTGCAAATGATCCATGTAAGCAATCTAAAAAATGGCATTTGATATAGGTAGTTAGCAGGAGCACATTGGCCAAAAAAATATGAAATGGAACATATGGTAGCATTGCATGAAACAGATCCTATGTGTAATATGAAACAATTGATATATTTTGCTGAAACATATACGTAGGTTATTAGCATGCTAGACTGATTATTTACTGAAACATATGACAGCAGTTGTGTGAAACAAAACATATATGTTAAATGAGACAAATGGATGTATTTTACTGAAATATTGGATCAAGCACGACAATGAAAACAATAAAACATATATATAGCAGGGTGAAACAATAAAAAACTTACAACAAGCAAGGGGAGGCACTCTCCAATCTGAAAAATGGAATCTCGTTGCTCAGTAGAGAATCCCTGATATTTCCTGATTTCCCGCATCAAACAGCTCGCCACATGTGTGCACCAATCATACTGACTACACATCTTGACATCAACCAAAGAATGCAAATAGTCGAGATTCACATAATTGCCGGTGGCAGGACACAAGATGGTGGCAAGCAAGTACAAAATGAAAGTCCTCAAGAACTTCTCTTCATCATGCAGAGAAAGCAACAATTTCTCGCACATGCCTGTACCAAGTCTATTGCTGACAAAATATGGATGGTACAGGGTCCTGATCTCTTTTACAACTTCACTGTTGGCACCACTAAGCTTAACAGGTAGATCGCCATCATTTAGCCCAGTAATCTTCTGTACTAACAACTTATCAAACACGATAACCTTGCCACGGAACCTAAACTCACAAATCTCTGGGTTCATCTTTTGCATAATCCATTCTGCAAGTCGACTATGGACCTTGAAATTGCTTAGTGATAGAAAAGACTCAAAGCCATTATCTATGATGAATTTCTTTTGATCGGGTTTCAACTCAAGCATAGTGCGCTTAAACCTCACACCGCCCCATCTATGCTTGAAGTTGGAACCACTACACCAATCAGGCATCCTTGAAAAAAAACACATAGAACACAAAAAAGTCTGAGACAAAAATACAACATGTGCTCTGCAACAAAAAAAAATGTGTATACTACTATGTAAGACAAACCAGGGAAAACTATGAAACATAATATTAATGTGTACTACAACATTGTATATGCATGGATGGGAACACAAAAAAGGGAAAAAATAAAAAAATGCATAATAGATTATAACAGTACAAAAATGGTAAAACAAAAAAACCACCATATGAAAACAATCACAGTGCAAACTATATATTATAGATTATCAAATATATCTCATAATAGATCATCATAGATTATCCTTCTGTGACAAATTAATATAACTACTAGAGTACAATCACATCTAGGAGGCCACATGCAACACAGACAATAAAAAAATTCCTTTCACATCTAGGGGGATCTCATAAATGCATCCTCATAAATTATACCTAAAAACATTCTGAAAAAAAATTAATGTCATTACTAGAACACATTCACATCTAGTAGACCACATGCAAAACACAAAAAAAAAAACTTTTCGGATTTGGGGGAGAAAAAGCATGGGGTAGCAAGAGGTTGGGTGTGGAGTGGGGAAAGGGGGTAAACGAAGGGCTCACCTCGACGCCGGGGATGGAGCTAGAAGCCGCCGCCGGGGATGGAGACAGCTGCCGCCGCCGCTGGTCGGAACCGCAGCAACACGCAGCCGCAGGGTGAGAGTGTGGTGGGGGTAGAGCTGTAGAGGGGAATGCGACGATTGGAGAAGCCGCTGCGACAGCTTCTAGTGCTGAGTCAGTGTTGCCATCCTGTTACAGTGTGGAGGCATTTTCAAAAGCATATGGGTTCAACATTTGACCATGCAGTGACATTTCTAAATGGGAGAAGACAAATGGGCCAGAAGTGAGGCCTCCAGTATATGAAAAGAAAGTGGGCAGGCCACCTAAGTCCAGGAGGAAAGCACCACATGAAGTCCAGGGGAAGCATGGGCTAAAAATGTCCAAGCATGGTGTTGAGATGCATTGCAAGTATTGCAATGAGCCTGGCCACAACCAAAGGGGCTGCAAGCTCAAAAAAACTGGACTGAGGCCCACACAACAGCCACAGAGGGCTGCCACTACTACTGTTGAGGAATCTGATCCAATCAGCCCAGAGGTAATGCAATTTCAAATTTTAAACTGTTATGACTAACTGTCACCCTAGAGGTTTGATTTGCAACTGTCATGATATGGTTTTGTTTTGTAGGCTCAATCTCAACCTCATTTTCCTACCCATGACCAACTGTTGACACAAATACCTAATGCAATGGTATCACAGATGTTTGATGAGTCATCTCAAGTTTCTCAAATGAACCTAGCACCTGGGCCTTTACCTGACAATCAATTTGTCATGACTAACACTCCAACTGTCAGGCCAACCCTTCTCACCACTGCAACAAAGGCAGGAAAAGCAAGAGCAACCAAAAGAAAGGCTGCAGTTGTTGCTCCAGCAAAGAAAGCTACTAAGAAGAGGTAGAAGGATTGTGCTGATGGTGCAAAGAAATAACTTAGGATTAGGAACAGATTAAGAAGCAACTGAATGCTAGAAGTTAAGCATGCTTGTCCTTTTGTAATGCCAAACTAATGGCCTACCTTTATTCTTTTGTAGCTGCCAACCTAATGGCCTACCTTACCTTCTTTTGTAATGCCAAACTATGGCTCACTGCTATGCAAAACTGATGGATGTTGGGCTGCCATTTACTCTAGACTTTATGTCATGAAATATTTGGCATCTACTGTGCACAACTGATGGATGCTATGCAAAACTGATGGCTCACTGCTATGCAAAACTGATGGATATGCTATGCAAAACTGCTATGCAAAATTGTTTGCATCTACTGTCAGTCTGTAAATATTTTCATTTTGTTTGCATCTCCATAATCAATTTCAGATGACAAATGTACTAAAGACTGCAAACCTGACATTACCATTTCAAAAGTTTCACATCTCATTGCACATTGCAAACCAACACAGTATGGTTTAGCCTGAATACAACCCAAAATTCACTGATACAATGGGCACACATCACTTAAACCATAGAACAAGGAAACAACACACTATCAAACCAACTGAACACACACCACCAACTAGCATGAGCTTCATCATCACCATCATCTCCCTCAAAATGAGCAACATATGATCAGCCTGCTTAAATTCTTCAACATCTGCATCTTTTCTAATCTCTTGAACCGTGCTCTTCTTCTTCACATCTGCATCCAGCTTGATTTCTTCAGTTCCCCTCTGCATTTCCCTCTGGTTTGCTTCATTCAGCAACTTTGCACAAGTGTTTTGCTCAATCAAGCCTTTCCTATTCAGGTATTTAATATACCCTTCCTCCCAATACCAAAAATCGCAACCACTTCCACCCTTCTGTACATTTTAGAACAAGCAAAGATTTCAGAAGATTTACCCCCAAAAACAGTAATACCCCCACAATAAAAAATTAACCTCAATCGATTTACCTCGTGTGAAGGGCATGTGAAGAATATGCGGCCTTGATTAGCTTCCGTGTTAGCAGTAAGCTCCACGATTTGCTTCACCCCGCATCAAGGGCACAAGATAAGTGGGATTGAGGTCCTCCGACGACGACGACTTGAACACAAAGAACAGCTTGCTAAGGCCATGGCTCATCAAGACTCGTTGCACCGCCCTCAACTGTCGGCCACTGCTGCTCGCACCGCCGTCGCCTCTCCGCCGCCACTATCTATCCATGCTACGAACAGAGTGAGGCTAGGGTTTGTGAAATTTGACGAAGGGGAGGGTCCTGGGTGAAAAAGGCCACGAGGATGGGGCCGTCACACGCGTCGCGACACCTGGCTGTCCACGTATGCACCAAACCAGTCAAACCGAGCTCCGGACCGGATTGATACAATAAAACAAGTTTAACGAGGTTAACTACAGTTTAGATAGTTTATGGACCTGGATGAAACTTTAAGATAAGTTTAAGGACCGCTAGTGTCATTTACTCTTCTTAAAATGTTTTGGTCCAAGAACTACCATAAGTTGAGCTAATTCGGTTAGGTGGATATTAGGGACAACCGAATTAGTAGTAAAATTTGTACTACATGAAAAATATTTGAAAGATTATTATGCTTATGTATTGTAGGAAGCTTGATTGTCTCAGAACGAATACTTATTTGAGTACCGTTTTGAGAGGACGACTGTGGATGGGTTTAGAACCGATACCATGTGTGGAGTGTCGTTTTGAGAGGACGACTGTGGATGGACTCGGGACCGATACTGTGTGTGGAGTATCGTTTTGACATGACAATTGTGGTTTAGGTTGGTTAATTTTACAGTGTTTTCGGTAAAAAGAAAAGTTATACATTCTACTTATACCGAAAACAGGGGGCATGTGTTTGTGGTGTAATTTGGCTTCTATTATTTAATCTTGGTAGGCCAAATTATTTAGTTTAGCTTTCATTATTTATGGAATGTTTTGCCTAAGAACTGGTTAAATATGTGCGTAGTTTGTTGGGTGGCTGTAGAATTTCACATGGTTTGGAGATATATATGTATACGGATCATGCAGGTGCAGCCGAATTATTAGGAAATCCGGATGAGGCTACAACGGTGAATGAGATGGATACGTTGAGAAGATTATGCAAGATCAACGGCCTGATTGCATGCGTGCAGTGCCGATTTGGATAGGAAGGAAGGATGGGCCCACGAAGAGAGACTTTTGATGCGGTGTGCGCCGCCTATAAATTTGCATCCCAGACGTCGGCAAGGGACGCCGAACAAATTATCAATCTACTATTTTTCTCGTTTTTTACTTTTCGGTTCTTTTCTATTTCGTTTTCATGGTTAAGTTCTAGCAACCCTAGGATTTAGTTAATCTTTGCCGTTTGCGCTGAAAGGCGGTCGTGCTTCTCCACGAAAGCGAGAAGATTATCCTTTGCTAGTTTGCTCGGAAACTAGTCGTTCGTCGTCACGTAAGTAAGATTTTATCCTCTTTGTTAATTTGCTTGTAAATTAGTCGTGTGATTCCGCGAAAGTGAATTAATCTTGAAATCAGTTTCACTGGCCAATTTTGATCTATCGATTTTGGCGACTCTGCTGATTACACCGCAAATCGTTAGATGATCTTGTGTTGGCCATGAAAAAGTGTCAACAGGAGAGAGGTCGGAGAAGGAGAGAGGTTTTCAAGCTACCAACGGCGAGTCCACAATGATGCGAGCGATCGGATGGCTCTCCCAGCATCGCGCGATAAGACTAAAACGAAGGGATCTCGATTTAGATTTTGCGATTTTTTAACTATAAATCTATAAATTAGTGTCTGTTTAAATTCATATAGATAGCTTGTTATATTTTTGGACTGGGTACTGCCATTCCTTATGAATCGCTTGCGCGGCTTCTCATCCCGGCGAGCCTGTCGGCGACCTCCTTCATGGTCGGCCTCTCCTCTCCGGCCATGCTCAGGCACTGCATCACCAGCTCCGCGGCGTTGTCGAGCACCTCGCCTCCGACCTCCTCCCTGACCCACCCGTCCATGATCTCCCGGTGCCGTCCCTTGTGCGCCGCAGTGAGGAAGAAGAACGCGAGGCTCCGGTCGTCGTCGTCGTCGTCGTCGTCCTGCGAGCCGGCGGCGCTGTCCGGCGGCGGGCAGAAGGCCTTCCTCCCCGTGAGCAGCTCGAGGAGCACCACCGCGAAGCTGTACACGTCGCTCTTGCTGGTGAGCTGGCACGTCAGCAGGTACTCCGGGTCGAGGTACCCGCAAGTCCCCTGCACCAGCGTCGCCACCTCGGCCTCGTCGGCCGCCGGCGCGAGCCTCGACGCGCCGAAGTCGGACACCTTGGCCGTGAGCCCGGCGTCGAGCAGGATGTTGGCGGACTTGACGTCGCCGTGGAGGATCGGGGGCGAGGCCGACGAGTGCATGTACGCCAGCGCGTCCGCCGACTCGGCCGCGACGCGGAGACGGTCCGCCGGCGACAGGCCCTCGCCGGCTCCGGCGCCGCCGCCGTGGATGTACCGGTGGAGGCTGCCGTTGGGGACGTACTCGTACACGAGCATGGGGACCTGGACCTCGAGGCAGCAGCCGAGCAGCTTGACGACGTTCCTGTGGTTGATCTGCGAGAGGATGAGCATCTCCCTGGAGAACTCCCTGAGCTGCTTCTCCTCCACCACCCTCGACCGCTTCACGGCCACCGTGGAGCCGTCGGCGAGGGAGCCCCGGTAGACGACGCCGTGGCCTCCGCGGCCGAGGACCCGCGCCTCGGCGAAGCCGTCCGTCGCCTTGCTGACCTCCTCCTCGGAGAAGATCTTGAACGCCACGCCGGAGGCGGCCAGGGAACCCAGCTGCTGCTGCAGGAGGAGGCCGCCGTTCTGCTCGAAGAACCTCTGCTTCGCCCTCAGCATCCTCCTCTTCTCCATGCCCACGTACGCCAACAACAAGGCCACTAGCACCACCAACACTCCTGCGCTGACGCCTGAAAACTCAAAACAACATTACAATCCAATTAAATCCTCCCGTTTTCATATTCAACCTTTTTTTTTACTAGGTTTATAAATAAAATATAATCATATTTTCTGTACAAAACAAATATATTATGAAAATATATTCTATAATGAAACTAATTTTGTGTTTTAGATGTTGCTAATTTGTCTATAATTTGATTATATCTAATAAAGTTTGAAAAAAATAGTTAAAACGACTTACAATATATAAAACGGAGGAAGTGTGCCATTGTTATCTAACAACATTCATAAAAGGTCTGGTTACGAGGGCTTGTTTAGATTGATGAAAATTTCAATCATATCATTATTTGTTAAAATTGACAATTATGTCGATACGTTTAGTTTGTCACCAAATATTGGTAATGTGTATAGAATTTTGACAATATTATTAAGCCAATCCGACCAAAATTTTAGCAATGTTGTCAATTTGCCAAAATTTTGATATTGTCAAATTTTTGTAAGGTTCATTTTGGAATCAATCTGAACATACCCTGAGATTTTTTTAAAATAGTACTACTTTTCTTAAAAGATAAGGCATATAATCTTTGTGACACAAAATTAATTGGCAAAATTTGCTACAAGATATTCAAAATTCATGTAATTTGATGGTAGACATCGTAAAAAAGTGTCACTGCTAAAAAAACACTTTTAAAAACTAGTAATTTGCTGAGGACACTTTCGACTTAATTGGAGATAGAAAATCTTAAAAACGACAAGAATGTCTCTATGATCAAAAACTTTTGAGCTAAGGCTGGAGTGAAGATGAAATATGATGTAGTATGCTAGTGATGTATTTGGGGTGATGGTAAATTTTGAGTTGTATAATTTCTAATTTTTTTTACACTAACGTCATGTTTGAAGCATGTGTTCCTAGACGCATTCTAGTCTTTCTTAAAAATTTATCTTTTCAATTGAGCCGAAAGTGTCCTTTAGCAAATTACCAAAAAAAAATTATCTATCATCCGTGACACATTTTTTTCGATGTCTATCAGCAAATTATATAAAACTAGGAAGGTAGCCCGCGCATTGCGCGGGCATGTATTTTAGATTGCGTTCGAAAAACTTATATAGATCGAATATCAACTCAATGACATTGCCATGTTTCATAAGTACTATTTCTCCATAATTTTACTTCATCGGCATTGCTTAGATAATTTTTCCAAACTATTTGTTAGCTTTTAAAATATATAATATTTAATTCATTCGTACAAACAATTATCTATGATCCATATAAACATCTCTCATATTTCAAAAGTATCTATTTAGTTTGTTTGGAAAAAACATATCTAACGAATTAAACGTAAATTAAAAGTAAAATATTTTGTCTTTTTTAATTGAATGTTTAGTGGCTTTTTTTAAAAAAGTAAAATATTATTGTTAGTAAAGATGCTTTATTTGTACCATCAAGTTAGTCCTCTTTTTAGGCTGCGTTCGGTAGGACATCTTCCCAACTCCTCCTCTCCGTTTTTCGCGCGCACGCTTTTCAAACTGTTAAACGGTGCGTTTTTTGCAAAAGTTTCTATACGAAAGTTGTTTTAAAAATCATATTAATCCATTTTTGAAAAAAAATAGCTAAAACTTAATTAATCACGCGCTAAACGCTGCTTCATTTTGTGTGCTGGGAAGTGAAGGTTCCCAACCCTCTGTCACGTCCTGATAAATTCATCCCGAAATAAAAATCATCTTCTAAAAGGAATAATAGAATTAATTAAAATTCGAAAAGAAATTGGCAAACCCTAAAATACGTACAAGAAAAATTCAAATGTGGCCCGGAGAATTTTTGTTAAATTCTCCTTGGTCTAAAAAGGAGCCCTCAAATTTTAGTGGAATTTTCAGAGCACAAATAATAATTGAGAAGAAATAAACAAAGTTAAAAAGGTTTATAAAAAGAAAAATCCTAAAAGAAGTTCTTTTCCCCCCCCCCTTCCCTCTTGGGCCGGCTCGGCCCATTCCCTCTCTCTCTCTCTCTCTCCCCCCGGCCCATCGGCTCCCCGCGCGCGCGCGCGCCGCTGACAGGCGGGCCCGCCCGCCACCCTCGCTGACGGGTGGGGCCCACCTGTCATCTTCCTCCTCGCGCCGCGCCCGTCGCCGCCCGTGCCCTAGCGCCGCCGCCGCCGCCAAATCCGCCGCATCCCGCCTTCCCCGCGCGCCTTAATGAGGGGGGAATTATTCCCCGCGATTCCCTCTCCCGTTTCCCCCGTTTTCCCCTCTCTCTCTCCCTCGGATTCGTCCGGATTCATCCCGCAATCGTCGCCGGCGTCTTCAATGGCGGCCGAGATCTCCGCGCCCGTTTCCTCTCTCTCCGGCCGCGCTCTCCTCCTCCCGGTGCTATTAAAACGTTGCCCGTGCTCCGCTCTTCCGTTTCCGCCGCTCACCGCTCGCTCTCGCCGTCGGATTCGTGCTCGCGCCGTGCTCCTCTCTCTCCGCCGTCGCCGCCGAACTCCGTTCCGCCGCCGCCGCCGCTCCGGACCTCCTCCCGACTCGGCGCCACCTCCCTCGGCATCGCCGCATCGCCGTCGACCTCGTCCGCGCCTCCGTTTCGCTCGCCGACCGTCGGAGCGCCGCCGTCATCGTCATCCCGAACCGCGCCGCCGCCTTCTTCCGCTCCGGCCGCCGTTCTCGTCGTCGTCGTTGTCCCGGGGTGAGCCGAAGACCGCCGTTCGCTTTCCCCCTTCTCTCCGCTCTCTCGGGCGCCGCTCCGCCGCACCGGTGGTCGCCGGCGGTGACCATCGGGGCGCGAGCGCGCCGCTCCCGTCGGCCGCGCCGGCGAGGCCGCCCTCGGGCGCGCCCTCGCGGCTGCCAAGTGGGCCCGGCCGTCAGCCGCCCGCGCCCGCGGGTGCGGCTGACGCGCGGGACCCACGGCGCCGACCGCCGCCAGCCGCGAGCGCCCGGTCCACCGTGGACCGAGCGGCTGACGCGTGGGCCCCACTTCCCGTGGACCCGGTCCGCGCGCCCGCTCCCTCGGCTGACGCAATAAATAGGAATTTTTAATTGAAAATTAAATGAAGAAATTCGCAAATATCCATTTAAAGAGCATATAAACTTCAAATGGCCATATCTTGGCCATTTGAACTCGGAATTGGACCGTTCAAGTCTCTAATTTTTCCTTAAGAAGTCAAGAACCCATTTTTGTGCTTTGTTCCTGCTTGTTGTTTGGAGTTTATTAGAGTAAAAGCCTTTTCTTTTCCGTTGGTCGTGTAGACGCTGCAGCTTCGGAAGATCCGCTCTTCGTGGAAGTTGAAGCCGGTGGTTGGGAAAGCGAGCAAGGCAAGTCACATCATCCTTGAGCATATTGAAATCCCAGTTTACAAAATTATTTTAATTTAAATTAATGCATTATCGCTTTATTTAAATTCCCGCGTTATCACTGTTTTATTTAGCCATGCCTATTTACCTTTGTTATGACATTATTATTGCTATTGTTATTATTACCTTGTTCACCCTAGAATAAACAAAACCCCAACTAGTGGACACTCTATTCCTGGTTCCACTAGTATGAATTTAGGTAGATGCTTCGCTGATTAATTAGGCAACATTAGGTGGTTTTATAACTTTAGACTTTGGGAATTTTCATATCATTTGGACACTATGGAATGGTTGGCTTATGGTGGAATTGGACATACACCTCTCTTCCTCTTTCAAAACCCCTAAAACCTGTTTTCGGTGGGGTTTGGGTGCATGCCAGTTATGGGAAGTAGCACCCCGGCCACTATAAGGATGAAGCTCGGGCCTCTGTTGCAAAGCACTACCGTACTTCCACATGTCTAATGGGTAAGGCTTAGTTTGTGGCTCAGTCTAGTCTTAAACAAAAGTACACGGATTGGAGATGGATGAAGTCGGGCGTCGATGGACATTCTCCAGGGCAAATGAAGGCTACACGAGCTGCGGCCCGGTAGTCGAGATGTCATACGGCGGAGGGTTGGTGCCCAATGCTAGGGGCTCAGTTCTGCCTGCCTGTCCCGGGTATCCCGGCCGTAGGCAGGATTGGGTCGGTACTCTTGTTTATGGCTAGGATGGGTTGGAAACTATGTCACGTCTTCCGTCTGTATACCGTGGTGGTATGTGGCGCGTGGTAACACGTGAGGAAGATGTGTCTTGTGGGTAAAGATGTACACCTCTGATCAGAGTAAATCTATTCGAATAGCCGAGCCCTCGGATATGGGCAAGCCTAGCAATGTACCCAAGTCAGTGTTTTAATTCTTAAAATTTGCTCAACAACTAAAACATGGAATGGTTGGCCTGGGTTGGCTTGGGACGAGCTGGGACCCAGGTCGGGTTGCCAGTTCGGTCCAAATCATCGTAGGCCTTGGGTTAAGGCAGGTTCGTGAGGGTTCACAGCCTTGTTTAATAATACTGTGTAGCTCTAGAATCGTCTTTACAAAATGGCTTTGGGCAACTAAGTGACTTTTAAATGCTGTTTACTGCAAAACGTAACCCCTATATTATTATCCCCTTGTACTCCCTTGCATTAATTGTGCATCTCCGGTGTGGCTTGCTGAGTACTGTGGTTGTACTCATTCTTGCTCTATCTTTCTCCCCCCTTCAGTAAGAGAAGCTTTGGAGAAGATGTCTTAGGTGGAGTCCTGGCTTATACCCCAGTTGAGCGCCTGTGAAGATGGAGCCGTAGGCCCGCTAGTCCGCTGCTGTTTATTTTTGATTGTCAGGCCTGAAGCGCCTTTGTAATAATGTAAATATTGTCGATATAGCAAAGATGTGTCTTTTATATCATGTTTGTGTGGTGTACCCCGGCTTTTCCTGGGACGGGGATTAATACACTAGCGTTCGGGAAAAGGCAATTTTCCCGGTCGCGACACCCTCACTCCCGAACATAGCCTTAGTTGGTTTAGATTCATGCAAGTTGTTACATATTTACATATAAGTTAACAAAGACATATCGTAGTAATACGTTTGACCTATAGTATCTTTTCTAAAATAAAATATAGTTAACATGAGTTCGAAAAATTAAATTTAA